TTGAATCAAAACATAGATCTATTAAACAGAGTATGACCGCTACTGTGGGTGATATACCAGATATTATTTTCTTGACGCAGCTCACAAAATATAACTTAGACCGCACCTGAAGATAAAAATACTTTAATGGATATATCTGTTTTATTGAAAATAGTTATCTTTCGTTATGAAACTAGTGAAAACTTATTTTACCTTGTATTGTTTTAAATTACCTACTAGGTGGCTACTATATTGATTTGCAATATTTATCCCAAAATTTAACCAAGACAAATTTTACATGCTCAACATTTATATTATCACATTATCAATCAAGAAATTAGGTAATGCTAGCAGAGATCAAGCATTGATATAAAAAACAATAAGAAACAGGCGTTAAGTATAAGTAGTATTTGCGGGAGAGGTTCACTATGAACAAAATTAAATCCCCAATAAATGCTAGGTTAATTAACCATTTATTCACAGCTGAAATAGTTAATTTTTATTTTCAGTATTCGCAGGTTAACATGCATTATAAAACAGGAGAAATAACATATGGGAATGGTTAGCGATATGCATTTCATTTGTATCCAGAAAATTGATCTGTTCAGTTCTTCATGCATCCTGATAAATGAACGCTCTTTAACAATAATACAAAAATGTCATCAATAAAATCCATTGAAATTTAATTAAGATTTTCCTGCAAACATCAAGTCAATAATCAACAGTCGCAAACCATTTTACATTTGGTTCGCAGCTCTCTCATTTCGTCGACGGAATGACCAGCTTTCCGATGCCGGAATCGAAATGAACGAACGTTCGCGGAGATAAAACTGGGCGCGAGGCAATTTGGGCGTTCGCTCAGTCGGCAAACGTTCGATTCCGGGGCGTCGACACAATCGGTCCACGAAACTGGCGGCAAAATTCTCGAGTTAGTCACTAAAATGGTCGCTTTCCAATTTAGCTCGTAACACTCAATTATCTAGCGACAAAAAATGCAAAACTCCACCCAAGAGCGATCCTAGAAGGTTCAAAGTTTGAAAGTTTTAATTAAACTTGCTTCCAAAGCAGTCCCCCTGGACTGGGTTCACGATGAGGAGTTATCGATTCACATGTAAAACCAGCGAATAATTCAAATATTTTTACATGTCACAATGAATTTATGATTTCATTGCTATGATTATATGATATACTTGTTTCAACTCTGAAAAGCGCGCAGTTGAATTCTGACTGGTAGAATAAAAATCAATGACACGTTTGATCCATTTGCATTCTGGGGATGAATTGAGGATTAATACGATAATTTTCCTACTAACTGCACCAATCAGTTAAAACTCATGCTGTTGAGTTGAAACATTGAATCTATCTCCAATTATACGGATTTATGAATGAAAGCTCAACTTCGTGTGACTATATAAAATCTTGAAAAAAAACGATAACAGTCAAAGTTGAATGGGATAGATGTATTCATCTGTTTGTGAATATATTATATTTTACATTAATGATTTCTGCGATAATTTTTCTAAGACAGAAAAATCGAAAGATTATTGCTATACAACGTATATATCGAGAGCTTCGGTCATCATAAGGTCTCCTGTTACTTCGGCTTTAAAAGTCGCGTACAGTATACAAGATATTGCGAAGTTATCATAGAAGGTACGGACATTACTCACAAAACTCCGTTCCGAATATCTAAATATGAATAAGCATTGAAAATGTTAGATTTTCTAGAGAAATATCATGAGGATTTAAGATGCAGAGGTATAATTTAGAGGAAAGCAAAAGTTTTTGAAAACTATTAAATTTCTTACATGATTGAGATAGTTCAGTGAGGTTAACTAAAGCTATGTGTTTTACTCTCTCGGAATATAAAGTAGGTTGTAGCTTCATAAGCCGTCTAAATCAATGCCGGACTGTAAATGTCAAAAGCTCATGCTGAACTACTTGATTTATTAGAGAATGTAAAGATTTACGGACCATAAACAATGCTACAGCTTAAAACCCAGCCTTATCTCCAGTATGGTGAAGTTTTCGCAGGTTAACCAAAGCTTTGATTTTCCTTCAGGATTGTAAAAGTTTACAGTGGATAATCAAAAACTAACCTTTTTCTCGCGCACCGCAAAGCTTATGAAGATCAATCAATGTTCTAATTTAATCTTCTAGATTGTAAATACTTTTGCTTCCATTCTGCCGAACTATAAAGTTTACGGAGGACAATCAATTTTCTACGTTACTCTCCTGGATGATAAAAGCTTATGTAGATAAGTAAAGCCCAACCTTATTCCGCGCACCATAAGGTTGACGGAGGACAATAAATTTCTTACGTTATTCTCCTGGATGGTAAAAGCTTATACGTAGATAATTAAAGCCTAACCTTATTCCGCGCACCTTAAAGTTTACGGAGGACAATAAATTTTCTACGTTATTCTCCTGGATGGCAAAAGCTTACGTAGATAATGAATGTCCAACCTTATTCTGCGCACCGTAAAGTTTACGGAGGACAATCAATGTTCAGCCTACGCCCCAGGCGGCCGAGATGAAAGCCACAGGTTCGCTGTAAGAGGTCAGCGTGAGAGCGCCGCGGGCGCGTCGAGAGCGAGTTGGCGTCAAGTAGCCGCTGGTGCATAAAAGAAACTCGAGTTGAGTGGTTCTTGTGAAGCTGGTCTCTGAGTGACACAAGCGGTCTCGTATCAATGATTCATCTCAACTCCAGAGGCTAAATTTAGTCTTCAGCACTCGAAAAATACAATTCAAATTTGGATGTGGTGGAATTGAAACTAATTGAATGAGTGCACGAGTGAAAAGTGATTAGATTTTTCATTCCTGATGGACGGAGAATTTTTTTCCAGATATTAGTTGCTGGTTTTATTTAATTGGTTTTTATATTGTGGATCATATCTAGGTTATGGCTGGAATATTGTTTAATCCGATACCATATGGACAACATATCATGTGCCAACATAAATAATCCGGCGATATTAATGAATGAAGAAGAACTGATCGACTGATTTTTATTTCTACCCAAATTCCTATGGAAAACTGATACTCACAGAGTACTCGAAAATCTAATTAAAATTTAAAGGTATTTCGGCAGGGTTTTTCTCAGTGTAATGCGCCTAAATCATCTCGGTGTTTTCAAGTGAATCCTTAACTGTGCAGCACCCTGATACTCATGTGACGAGTGACCATGTTCTATAGCTAGTGCTCGCCACTGTGTTGCCTAGTTATTATAGGCTGATTCATATGGAGAACAATATATAGGCGGCTTTATATGGGGATCTTCAGGTGCATGTGCAGCGTAGTCTACATGTTCCATAACGACCACATTGCCGTCTCTACTAACCCATGTTGACACTCATAGGTATAGGCACTCGGCTATGAAGAAACGCAACAGTGAACATGAAATTTTACAGAAACTATCACTAGTGCTGAAACTCATAGCATAACAAAGTGTGTTTGTAAAATTACTTGTGTGCAGGAGTACGTGTGTCTGAAACTTGCAGTCCATTGCATACACAGATTGTTATTGTTGTTGTTGTTGTTGCGGTGTCACTAGGAAAAAGTGGAAAAGAACAAGAGGTGGCGCAGAGTGGCCAGAAAGAATAAGGAGAAATGGAAAAGACAGTAGGAGATGAAAAGGCGCATTATACGCAGAGGCCTGGCATGCTCAAATGTTCTGCTCAATGCTGATACAAACAAGCGTGCGATCTTGGAGCAACTTCACACCTGCCGACCTCCTTTAGTGCCTCCCTGATCGCCTATCGCTTCTGATTCTTATTTAATAGAATTTCAATTTCAAGTCATGAACGATGTGATGGCATGTTTTTACTGAATGTTCAAGTCATGAACGATGTGATGGCGTGTTTTTACTGAATGTTCAAGTCATGAACGATGTGATGGCGTGTTTTTACTGAATGTTCAAGTCATGAACGATGAGATGGCGTGTTTTTACTGAATGTTCAAGTCATGAAAGATGAGATGGCGTGTTTCTACTGAATGTTCAAGTCATGAACGATGAGATGGCGTGTTTTTACTGAATGTTCAAGTCATGAACGATGAGCTGGGGTAGTTTTACTGAATGTTCACGTCATGAACGATGTGATGGCGTGTTTTTTCTGAGTGAATTGGTTATTGAAAGGGATTATTGAAGTGTACCAGAAGTCAAAGGAAATTTTAAAAGTGATATTTAATCTTATTTTGAATACATATTCTCATATGGTAGCAAAATTATGCAGTTTATCTAATGCTAATGTTACTTTTTGGCAGAGGCTCTTCTATGAAATTTTGATTGAAAAACACCGTTCGCCCTGTTGAAAAAAAAAAAACGAACAAGAAAAGTATAAACAAACTGCACAATCTGATCTTCAATCGAAAATTTATTGTTAAAGACCAATGGTAATGAAGCAACAACATCGAATGACTGCAGTGCAAGCCGCCAACTCTACCAGCTATCGTACATGCGCTGCATTTCCTAATCTTAATGTGAATATCACGTTGCTTCCAGCTTATTAAAGCTTTTGTATTGTACCATATCAAGGAATACATTATTTTGTAAGCTAGATGGCAATTATTCGAGAGCTTGACTAAAATGAGGCACGCTACTTTCACGCTCAGTTAAATCTAATAAGCGTCATTGGTGTTTTTAAACTAAAACATTGTAAAATTATACATTTTTTAATTAAGCAGAGTCGAGTCCTGACATCCGTACGCTCTGCGGGCTGTTATTGCCTGCAACAATTAGCGATTTGATTATCCTCAATGTTTTACCCTTCCACGATTCCGGGAAATTTAGATTTCATTGCATTTCGAAAGTGATATTTAATTCGCACGAGACAACCAAAAATGACTTCAATTGATTCATGGTCTCTGCACATATTTTTAGTGGATCTTTTTACTATATAGCAATTACTGGTGGATTTTATTTGTATCTTCGCAGACAATTCTAATGAGTTTATTTGGTATTAATTACGACAAGTCTAAATTAATTCTATGTTTTTCTCTTGCAGACGTCACTGCAAAGCTTGTCCTTCGCGATGTACAAAGCCACAGACGGCATGGCTGGCCTGGGGTCCGTAACAGTCCAACTGCCTCCTGAATGGGCAATCCGGTCCTGCATCCCTCCTTCCCCGACACCTGGGGAAGAACCTCCTATAACCACTCAGGACCCACAAATAATTGTTGACAGTCCGCACGCTGTTTTCGGGGACACTCCTTGGACACAACAGAGTGGTGGATGTGGGCAACAAGGGAACTTCATTCAGCTTGGTGTGAATTTTCTAAAGTCCGCTAATGTGTCGGAATCTTCCGGCGAACGCGCCGGTCGGATTTTGCTCGCTGAGTGGGCCAAGTTTCGGTGGGGCGTGTTTTCTGAGTCAGGACATCAAAGAGACCCGTTATATCCTCCATGGTACAGCTCACATCCTCCATCCTGGGAACCCAACGTATGCAGCGACGTCGTATCCCTGGCTCACACACCAGCGTGTCCTCCGCATCTCAACGCTCGCTGCCCCTGGCCGCACTCGACCGTAGAGAACGCCACGTCGTCTCTACTGGCTACTCCCCAACTGCCCAAGGTTAGTTGATAGGATAAATAACGCTGTTTAAGTTGTATAATACATGATAAATATACAGAGATTATGCGTTTCAACGTTGATATGTCGTGAGGTATTCCAACAAAAAATTCTCAATGACTTCATATATACTTACCAGCAGGCGGCAAGTTAACTTAACTAACAAATTAAGATCGCTAAGATCTTATATGATTCGTTTCCTCAGCTTTAGAATATTCATTCATTTGTAGTCCTTGATCATCAATTTATAATACCCAGTTTAAACTTTTTTGAGTTGTAAATGAAAACGCACATCTCAGAAAGATATCTATGAGGGAGATCAATCGTGAATTTTGCCTTTTGCTCTCTGTTTTAATCATTACACATGAAGCATAATTGCGCTTCAATTTTGCTTTAATCATTAAATTGTAAATATAATATGTTTATTTAATTTAATATTTAACTTAGTTCCAATCACGTAGAAATAATCTTCAAGACTTACTATGCCATGCTGCATTTGTTTATTTTAAATCAGGTTTTTAATTTCATCCTTCTTATCATGAAATTTAATCAGAAATATTTCCATAAATTCATACAGCTTCAGCGCTTAAGATTTTCTGTTGCTGTGCCGTTTCTGGCGACTCCCCTCCGATGTAGTAGCTACCGACGCAGTATTTAATGCAGCGCTGCTGATGTAGTATATGAATTACACGCTCTGTCAAGACGAGCTGCAACTTCTATCTCATAGATAGATGTTGCAATGCAATATCTATTTATGGTTGCAACATCTATCTATGTTGCAACATCATAGACTGATGCAACATCTATCTATCTCATCGATGCAACTTCTCACAGAGCTCCTTCTTACACGCTCTGTGAGAAGGAGCTGCAACTTCTATCTCATCGCACAACTTTCTATTTCTTAGAGGAATTTCGAAATTTACCAATTTCTCCCGATTAAATGGAAATGAAGAGTAATAATGCGTTTCTCCGAAATACCCCAATGTAGGTAACTTTGATTACATGTATAACTTTGTAAGCAAGAATTTTACGTTAGTTAAATAATTAATTAGTCAGGAAGAATATGTTTATGAGGAATAACTTATATCTTTTCTCATCGGCTATGGTGCCGGATTAAAGTCATCTCGGATTAAATTTATTTTTGTATCACTAGATTAAACTCAAAACTATTTAACAAAACACAATGTGATTATTCTTTTAGCTTAGATTGAGGTGTTTTATATCGATGCATTTTCCACCACTAAAAATTGGAAGGACAAGTGCATATATAGTAAGCTCTGATAATTTGAATTTGCTCTCATCCAGTGAAACAACATTTTAAATGGTTGCCAAACATGTCCAATACTCTATTGTAAATATTTTTGAAAGTAAATATTGTTATGTTGACATTATTGAATTACTACTCAGTTCACAAGGTATAACTAAATTCTAAATACAACTGACGTGACGAGAAATATCGTGTGAAACTTGAAAATGAGTATTGGAAAAGCGAAAATTGAATTGCATTTTTTAATGTAGTTGCATCTTATATGTAATTATTAAGAAGCTAAAACTATTATGCATTAGGATTATATCTTTCAATTTTCGTTGACTGCTTTTTGACTCTTATACCACTTCAAGATTTAATGAAATTGATAAATGACAAAATATCCGTATATCAACTATTTTAAATAAATAAATAGTACAGTGGTTGACACTGTGGAAACATTATATTGAATTTCAAATCTCTGTGTACATCACATATAAAGTATCATTTATTGAATTCATAACGGTCGAAGTTTAGTTATTTTTTGAAGCTTGATTGCATCAAATGCATCGTCAATTTCCCGTAGTCTGTTATTTTAACATGAATCTGGATGGTCATTTGTCTGTCTGAAATCAACCGTTGGTTAATACCAATCGGGTGATAATTTATCATAGGAATAAATTCGGGCTGAAATAACGCAAATGATCATCGTACATGATGTACATTGGCCATTATTATCAAGCTTATAGTATTTACCAATCCATTGATTTCTACTTCGGAAGCTCGAAACGGATAATAACTGAAAGATTGGTTTTGGTTTACACATTTGTTTTGAATTCAAATAATAATAAATGAAATAAATATTTAATGATATAAGAAACAAGCCTTAAATGCGATGATATGATAGTCGAAATTTTGATTTTGTCATGGGTTTCGAGGATATTTTCTATGCACGAAGCAGCGGCGCTTCTGGCAATCTTGGCGAATCTTCTAAAGTTAATTGACAATTTACTCCTCCTAGCAAACACCTCAACAACATATCATGACTTTTATTAAACTATTAATTTCTCTAAAAAAATCTGAAGTATATTTTCAGCAAATTATATTATCAACTTACTCACTATAGAAATGTTTGCATATTTTTGAGATTTTTCATTAGTAGGGAAGTGCTGTTTGAGAGCACCAATCTCACGTTTGTCTCAGACGAGACTGCGAAATTAGACGGTCCCTTCGCTACAAATTACACTTAATATATTAACCAGTCAATCATTACCAATTTAAAGAATTTCATGCCAATTAAAAGCATTAATTCATTAACTCAAGACCATGACAATATTTTCACGCTACTTATTCCGTTACCAAGCTTACATTTTCTTGACTTTTGTTGGCCAATCCTGTGACTGGCATTAACAGTGTTTACCACAGCACCCTGAGTGCACCCGTCTAAAAGCTCTGCCTGCCATTTGTGGTTCATTTGGTTCGTTTAGCGACGCCTTGCATACCTGTGCTCTCCCGTGTACTTTTGCTGCCGCTAAAATGGGCCATAAAACGCATTGTCGAGCCCGTGTTTCTTTGATGGAACAGAGTGGGGCGGCTCAGGCTCTCCGTCTCACAGCTTCACTGGATACGATCTCTGCATCTCTGCTTGGGGGCACAGTCTCTGTGCATAGTATTGGCTTCTGCACCACAGTTCCCTAATCTATCTCAGAATTTGAATTAGAATATGAGAATAGTGGCGAATTCTTTCTTACAGCGAAACAATTGTTATCTTTTATTAAAGTTGTGATGCATATTCTCCGCCTGTAATAATTTTGGTCAAAACTGGAGTTAGCATGCAAAAAATGCATGTCACGTCGAATAATATCTGTTATTAAAAGAAACGAAAAGATCTCGGAATTTGCATTAGGATATAAGGATAGTGGCGAATTCTTTCTTACAGCGTAATATTTGTTATTTCTTATTAAAGTTGTGATGCATATTCTCCACGTGTAATAATTTTGGTCAAAACAGGATCAAGCATGGGCTTAATCCTGCTAAGATTTAATTAGGAAATAAATGCATGTCACGTCGAATAAAATCGTTAATACGACAATGATAAAATAAGTATACACAGGGCTATAAAGCATCGGAAAGGTTACTTTGCAATCAAACAAACCATAAAAGCATCTTAAATGATATAATGAAGCTAATCTTCAAACAATTTATAAATGAAACAAACGCTTATTGCAAAAACAAACGCTATTCAAGTAAAATTTATAAATGAAACGCTTGAAAATGAAACAAATAAAATTTTACTGAATTTGGTCATTAAATAAGAAAATGAAGTAAAAAATTTATCATTATTATATTTTTCAGTTCGTTAAAATATACATGGCGCTCTCTCGTGAATTTATGCGCATTAGTAGGATGCCTAGTGGATACCCATTCATTCGTGGAAATATTAATTCATTACCTACGCGGTTGAGAGCTATGTATGACCTCAAGAATATATTTAGTAAATTTCGTTTTGGAAAATATATTAACAATTAATTTTAGGCTCTGTTTCCCTATAGTATCTTATTTGAACTCAGTTCTCCATTTAATTTCACATTTTTTTTGGTCTAACTCGAATTTGATATTTGCTAACGACGACAAAACCATAATCCCATCCCATGGAAATTCGTCTATTCATTTTATTGGCAATGCCTCGCTGACAGGCGATGGATTAAACTGCCATTGAGCTCCTCAAATCAAGTGACACGAGCGATATTTTGATATTTACACGAGGCAACAAATATCCATCCCGTTGACTCTTCGTCTCACTTGATATCCAAACAAACATTCATATATTGAGCAAGTTGTTTCCAGCATCGAGCATCGCCCAATTACTTGCCAATTGGATTTCATATTGAATATTAAAAAGTAGAAATATTTCCAAAAGTGCACTCGTTTTAAGCTCTTATTCGACGGCCATATTTTCATGCATCGTAGGGCGATTAACCATCCGTAAAAACAAGTTTTTTTAATATGCCTCGAAGCCTCAATCGATGATGTTTTTGGATGCTGCGAAAGACGTTCCCTAATTGACTGTACATCAAAAAGCTCGTTATCACTAACTGAAATTTTTTGCTGAAGTCGTTCAATTTAATTTATTAACTCTAAATGTATTGACTGGTACGATTGAGTCCTGAGGCAGGGTTCAAGTTGCTTCGATATTTGCATATATTTCTGCAGCAAATATCTCTTGATAAAATATATTCTGCAGGCAGCTGTTATACAGTCCTCTTATCAACGTTTGCATGTGTTTTTGAATTTTTACGTGTGTTTCAACGTTTGCATGTTGAATTTTTATTGAATTTTAATTCCATACATCACCGTTAAAAACTAGTGATGTATCTAAAAGTGTATTCGCGGTTCCTGGAGTATAAAGCTGATTAATCACATTGCACCAAAACTTCATATTATTGTTTTTGTTTTATAATTTGATATTATTTGTTTTGGTTTGCAGGTAGCCTACTTCTGCACGCCTGCAACACACAACAGCGAGGCGCCTACAAAACACAACGCTCTGTGCTCCGGCCGTTCTACCTGGGAGGTCATCAGACAGTCCAAAGACTTCCGCAACATGAGGTGGGTGATACTCAGCACGCACACAAGCGATTCAATGGGTCACATTGTCCAAATAGTGACATGCTTCATTAACCTTACGTGCACTGCACATGGGGGTCTAATATGTGGTCCAAACGGGGTCTAATATGTGGTCCACATGGGGTATAATATGGGGTACGATATACATGGAGTGCACGTGTAGCTCTGAAGCACCATTTTGCCGGGCTAAACTGAGTTACGATGACCCACATAAATGCATTTTTATATAAATAAAATCTCGCTCATTTCCCAGAGATTCATGTTGCACAAAACTGCAGATAAAAAAAAACTGCAAAACATGTTGCAGATAATAAAATATAATAAACAATCAAATCCTAGATATTCTTCACCAGGAATAGAAATATTTCCAAAGCGAGATGGATGATAAATTTATTTAGTTAGAAATTACATCCACAGGCTTCTACAACTACTTGTGGCAAAATCTCCATGGATAAGTTTCGATGAGTGAAAATTTCTTCCAAATTGAGAAACATGACCTAAATACCCCAAATACAACTTTTTCACAGTTATATTTATATAAAGCATTTGAAAATGCTTTTCAGTGATGCTCTGTTGTTTTTAGCGCATTTTCTCATTTATGGAAAAAAGGCACTATTGTGCTCGTCATGTCCGTCCGTCTATCTGTCTGTCTGTCCGTCCGTCCGTGAGTTCACGCTTTCGTCGACAGGAAAATGCGCTCTCTATCACTCACTGTAGTGAGTACTGAGTTAAATTTTTTCTTAAATATACTCAATAGAAAAGTTTCTAAATCCTAGAGCTTGTCTTGGTTTCTTTATGAGCTAATAACTATGGTCTCGATGTAAGCTAGATATTGTTAGAAGAAAACAAGTGTATTTGTGAAGGTCAAATCAAGACAAAATTCCCACTTACCATGAGTTATAATTTCCGATCATCGGTAAATCGGGTAAGCTTTTTCATTGCTTGGATCTGAAAACATGGAGACCGCCATACGGCCGAGTCGCGAGTGACTAAACTTCGTATCTGGGCCTATACTTTCAAAAATACTTAAGAGATCGTAAGTTCATCAGCCAATCATTGATGGCCTTACAAGCTAAATCTACCAATCGTAGACAAGAATATAGTGCGTAAGTACTTACGTTCACTTAGCGAGTTTTGAAAGTATGGCCCCTGTTTGTTCTCTTCACTTCAGTGGGCCTGAGTGAGTTGTTCAGAGCTCTCCTGGTCGTATAAGTAACGAAGCATCGCCTTTGCAATGCTCTGGTCACAGCAAACAATGACAGAGACTCTCATTAGATGAGCCTTGGATGTCTGGGACTCAAGTCGCTAATGACCAATTGCCTTAGGCTATTGTTTCTTGTACGTCGTTAGTGAGCGATGGAAGGATTCATACATACAATAAATATATTATCTCACTCCACGTGGAATATTGTTGCTACAAAGTACTATATAAGATATTTTATCATTAATTATTAACAACGAAGCATGTGAATAACCAAAAAGCTGTTGTCATTTAGTTGACCGTCCTATTTTTGGGTATAAGGAACTATATTTCCACGGGTACAGAAATGTAGTGCACATCTGAAATGTTTGCTGAAATCAAGTGCATAACAAATGTTGTAGTAATTTGAGCTGAGAATAAATTTTAAACAATATTCGAGTTTCTTGATTATTAACCAATTGTAAATTTTGATTTACTATATTAATCAAACAGTTCAGGAAGAACTAAATACATATTCCGATGCTAAATACTTCCGATTCTGAAGGAAATATCTTTTTATTTAAATCGGGAGAGAGGAGCGACTTTAAAAGAGAGGTGAAGGCTGACCTGTAAAGCATTCTGCGAATGGCTTACCAGATTCGTAACACAAACGCTAGAAAAGGAAATAATTAATATTCATTCACCTAAGAAATGAAGGATTCAAGTAAATTTCTGCACTTGCTATTGTAATCTCAAATAATTGGATGCCAACGAACTCTCATTTTCGGTTAAAAGTCATCACCCTGATCACTGCTGATGGACAGGAAATTATGCTCAGCAACAACTCTGATCTAAAAACTTTCTCTGAAATTGTGAACAAGTGAGTCGTGTACTTATTTGCCAACCAATAAGTCCATAAGTACGAGATTATTGATACGCAACTTCGGTTATCAGGAGCTAAGCTTTGGAACATGAGGAACACTTGATTCAGGGAGCCATTTGCAAATGACTGTTAAAAAATTGTTAAAATTCTTTTCCTTAAGCTCCTGAAGCATGGATGGTTATCCGTGATCAGAAAATTACATCTATTCACACATGTATACTCATGCTGTAGTTGCTGAAATGTTGCGTAGTACGCAGGATACACATGACAAACCGGGATACACTGGACGCAACACATGACACAGCGGGATACACAGGACGCAACTCAAGACACAGCGGGATACACTGGATACAACACATGACACAGCGTAATACACTGGACGTAACACATGACACAACGTAATACACTGGACGCAACATAAGACGCAGCGTGATACACACGACACAGCAGGATACACTTTACGCAACACATGACACAGCGTAATGCACTGGACGCAACACATAACACAGCGGGATACACATGACGTAACACATGACACAGCATCATACATATGACACAGCGAGGCAGCTAAGCCCGCATCGCTGAGCTCTAGGGGCAGTAACGGATTTCCGAGGCTCAAGACTGGGATTAAAGCTTCAGGTTGAGTGTGCAGTATAAATGAACTACATCATGCCTTCTGAAATCTACGCGCGCACACAGTATATATGGATGCATGTGGTCACTCGTAGGTCGAACAAATTGCTCGTGTTACAAATAGTGAAATTTATTGTTCATTCCAAATTTCGGGAACGAGTGTTTTTCTGATAATTTTAGGCTTGTGGAGTAGATAAATTGTTCGAATCCACAATATCAATCACAACATAGATCAGAAATTGTTTCTTAATTAAGTGGTTTTATCATTATTATGATTTAATCCCATTGCCGTTTAATCGCATTGCCGGAATGGCAAGGAGACATTGCTGAAATTAGTGGCTCGACTGTTTCATGTCCCAATCTTACGTTTTCTATTTAATTTGGTACATAGATTTTCCAAATCATTAAAAATTCCTTCAAAGTTCAAAACAAAAGCTAAACGAGAACCTGAGTTAAATGTATTTTAGAACGGGTCATTCTATTTTTTTAATTTAATCATAATAACTCTATGCCGAAAATTTGCAATAATATTGTAATTCGAAGTAACCAAAATGGTTCTAATTGAATCAATATCGTAGAAAATAATCAAAATATTAATGGTCAATCTATAAATGAATGATAAATATAAATAATTGATGTAATATTTTCAAAGGAATACATGGAATCATTAGTAAAACAAAGTTTATATCGGAGATAGCCTAATCTTGTTACCAATAATCTTTTCTCCAGTTTTAATCAATAAAGTCTGAATTTACGCCGAGCAGGTTAATCACTGCATTCGTCACTGTATTCATTCAGGCGTATTGCATTTATTCAGGCGTACAGGCCAAATACTTGGGATAGTTAGAATAATTATATTCCCTCTATGAAGCGTTTGATTTCCTCAATGTAAGTTATCTCGTATAATTTTTTTCCTAAGTACCTCCTTAATTATACTCAAAAATTCAAGATAGCGACATGGCTTCATGTAAAATTGAACTGACGTACATTTCGATGATAAAAATGCGGAGCTGAAACGATTAGTCATGTCTAATTCTGGAATTTACTGTATGTATAGAAATTCCAATAACATTATAATAAATTTCAAACGTAAAACATTAATCAAAATATAATAGGACCGCCCGCATCTTTTCTCTTTCGATGATATTACATACGCAATAACCTCGTCGTAAGATTTTATCCGTCCATTGAGGAAAACAGATATTAAAGAATAAATACTGCGGATTTTCGTATTTGACCTCGTTTAAATCACAACAAGATTTGTACAGTATTCAAGGTTAAAAATGTTTCAATGTTTTGAGATATCGCTGAAAAATTTTTCGATGTTCATGACGGTGCAGTGTAAATAACAGTCACTGTTTAGTAAAAAAATGATGCGAGTGGAATAAATGAAATTATTGTCAGTTTACATGAGGCGAAATCTCTTCAAACTCGGTGATTCCCGTGAGATATAAAACTTTTTACCATTTTTAACTCGCACAATATTTCTTCAATGATTTTTGTGATATATGAATGAGATATGATTTTTTTAAACCGTATTATGAATTTTGATTTCAAATTCAGATTTGAATGCCAATAATCAATTTCAAGTCCAATTCTAAGGGATACTTGAAGTTTTTCCTCATTATCAATAACAATTCTAAAATTGTTTCTCATTAAAATTGATATCTAATATTATACATACGCCCTATCCGTTAATTACGGTCAATCACTTTTGTTTTTGCATCGCTTAAAATTAACCATCTTCCTCATATGCTGGTTGCCATTCCAAATCCCATTACATTTTCATTTATGTGGGCTATTCTTTCTTTAAAAAAATTCTATTTTCGAAAGTACGATGCCAAATCACGAGTAAATAATACCTTGCTATGCAAATCCTTGATCTTGCATGGTAGGTTAATTCAAATCTTCTGTGCATTCAAGATACCTGCTCCGGCGCTCTGCATGGTTTCCGCAGTACGGCAACTTTGGATCTTTTCCGCTTGAACACTTCGCGTCAGATAAAAAAATTTGCAACTCAAATATGTTATTTGGAAGATGAATGACTGCGGTGCGCATGCAGAGCAGAATGCATATGCGCTGTCTTTTCTTGGCGCTAGTTTAATAAATAAATGCGAGTAACATTGATGAACTGCATATGAATCGCGATTGTAGAGAATGCATGCAAAAAATAATAACCTAAATTAGCTGCGCACAAGTCGACAGCCTGTAGAAAAAACAAGAGAATAACATCTATAAACTGCATGAAAGCGTTACTTTATAAAATTCATGCGAATGACATGAATAAGATGCCCCTAATTTCTAGCAATATTGGCATGGATAAT